AAACAAATTTTTGATAGCCAAATAAAATAATATTTATTTGATAAAACAAATAAATTTTGTGGTGATTTTTCTTTCCAGAAAGAGTACACATATATTGTGGTATGACAAAACAAAGCTTTCATAGGATTCTAATTCCTAAGTAAGATTGGACAAAACATCCTAATTATAATTGGTAATATATATTTGATTTAATATTTTTTTTAAAATATATATTTGATATAATATTGATCAAGCATAATCTAATTATATATCACATGTAGTAATATCTATATTATTTAGAATATCAATGTCCATCATCTAAATTGTATATGGGTTTTTATATTTATCTAAACATTTATGTTAATATTAATATAATTACATGTAGTAATATTCTATTTAATAAATTTTAATTTAAATAATTTTCTTTTTACACAATCAATTTTCTAAACAAAAAATTTACAATTACAATTTTTTATAATAATAATTTTTATTTTATTTATTAGCGAATAAAATTTATATTTAAATAAAAAATCAATGTAACTAAACAAATTAAATTATTTATATTTTTTCAACCAATAAAATTAAAACTTTAAAAATAATTTTTTAGAATCAATAAATTTAGTAAAAGCATTTTTGTCAACTCCAATATTTCTCCTCCCCATTCTTACTTTTACAATATCGTAAATACACTTTGAAAAAACTTAATAAGTTTAAAATTCCACCGAAACTAGCGGAAATTTAATTGAACCAAATCGAACTGAAATTTTAAGAAATTCTACTTGTAACTCATTATTTTTTGGATTAATAGCTTTTAAAATATATTATCATATAATCATTATCTAAATAGTTAATAATAGGTTCTATTTTTTCCATCCAAGAGCCACCCCTGGTTGTAATGGATTGTTACAGAATATCAGAAAATGTGTCCCAAGCTTTTCTCAACTTGTTCTTTGAAGCCATTTTCGCAACTTGCAAAGACTTGTAGGCAAAGGCTAGCTGCCTGTAAAGAAAAGCCTCCTCGCATCACCAAAAACTTTATGAATACCATCTTCAAGGAATTCAATAGAAAGGGAATTTGGATCAAACCCTAAAAATATTACCAAATATGAATATTGAAACACTTCTTGTATATCATCATTTCCTAGTCTCGAGGCATTTTCTAGAACTAGGAATGATTCTTTTAAGCAAGCTCAAATCTTTTGTCAATTAAATAAAAAATGAATAATTTTCTTTTGAGTCCTCCAATTGTAACGGTAAAAGTGAACATCCCATCTCTTAAAAGTTCAAAAATCTCCTCCAATTCGGAACTCTTTTTATGATTTGGGAAATTCTTGTTCAAAGTATTCATAGGATTCTTTTTTTTTTTTTAATTGAAAGTAAGATTGGTATTGTATACGATATTTTCATTGACAAAATCGAAATCAGAATACATATAGAACAAGATTTACTTACATCTTTTATACTATACTGTCATACAAGTCAATCTAATGAAAATGCACGGACAAACGAGAGTATTGCAAACCATTTAATGGGAAAATGAAGAGATAAATAAATTCTAAAATTTTTTAATAACAATATTTATTAGTTTGGTATATGGATGGTTCCATATATCGAGAATGTACAAACAATTTTCTTATTTCAAAAATAAAAGCCATATGTTCATTGTATGATTAGGTCATTTGACAAACAAAATAAAAAATTACGGTTGAAAATTTGAAAAAAAATCTTATATTTACTTTATAATTTACTCTTTTGTCAACCATACTAATATCATGTATGGTTGACAAATATCATCTTTAGGTTTCAATTCAAATGTTTCCAAGATTTTGATGAAATCGTGTATATACAACATTATTTCCTTTCTCTACGCCATGTCAAATGCCACCGATTCCTACGAACACATCTATTGAGATGTTCCGAGTCAATAAATATTACTGGTCTCCAGCAGTAAATCTAGAAAAAAAATTTTTTTTTTGAGTCAATATATAGCTTTTTTTTTAAAAAAAAAGAGAGGTAAAAAATATAGATAAATTAACTTTATGGATTAATTTAGACAAATATACATATATATTAGAAAATTCTAAAGAAAAAGGATCAATTGACTCTTCTTTTTATACGGTGGATCTATCACTGCCTGTCTCTAACGTATAAGTTCATCCATAAATTAAATCAATCTAATAAAATATATGGACAAATAAAGATATCAATATATTTCATTGAAAAAAATAAATAAAATGGTAATAAATGATAAATTTTTAAAATAATATTAATTATTGACTTGAAATATATGGATCTACCCATACACTAGGCAAATAATTTCCTTGCCCAAAACAGAATATTTTTCTTTTCGTAAATTCACATATTTTAATTGTTAATTAAAGAATTGATTCAATACACTAGTCAATCTTTATGGATAGAAAAAATCCTTATCGGAAGAGTATTGCCCTGACTCAATGTGAGCAAGATTAGATCTAGCCCGTTAGACCGATAATACTTGTAGTATAAAAACAAAAGGAGAATTTATTCAATATATGTAAAGTCGTTCTAAAAATAACAAGTTCATGTTTCTAACTCCTAATTTAGCAGGTACACTTAGGCATATCAATTTCAAAACTGTCGGTTTCAAATTTCAAACTGTGAATTCCACTTGTAAGAGGGATGTAACTGGTTAAGACGGTCTTTAAGACGTTTTTGGAATTGTCATTTTTAATCTCATTCTGATTTAAAATCAAAATTAGATAATCATTTTCAAAATTTTTAATATTTTTTTTTTTAGTTTTGCTTTAATAAATAGCAATTAATAAATAATGCTATTGAAAAGGGCTAAATCAATTTAATAAAATGTCTTAAAATTTATTTTAAAAAATTATAATAAAAAAAATAAATTAGGAGTTTCTTTGAAAATTTTTTCATGGTTCCAAACTGAAACTGCTGGTTTTAAATTAAAATATTATTTTCGATTTTAAAAAATGAGAAACCAAAATCGAATCATAATTTCACAGTTTCGATTATAATTTAAAATTAAAACAATTGACCATAATTTAATATCAATTTTGATCACATCGATTTCAGTTTGAAATCAAAATATGGTCATGCATCAATGCAATTCACCTGAAAATATAGCTTACTCTCGTTATCCAACCACTGTGTTAGTACATATAATTGTTAAATCAGAAAGGAAAAGAAAATGATTTATATAAAAATCTAAGTTGGGCGGCAATGACATGTTGTCGACTTCGGGCTGTTATCTTAGTCACAATTAAACACTGTCTTATTGGTAAATTTGTGATTTAGAAACAGAAGTTGAAAGAAAAGAAACGAATAAATCGGATGGTTCAAAATTATTAGGGTCAATTTAGAATTATTCGGGTGTGGAATTATTATGGAAAAGCAAAATTTAATTAACGATTGTGTCCCTTTCATTGAAAACATAAAAGAAAATCAAAACCTAAATAAATGAGAACCGCCAAATTAAAAAGTTCTCCTTGAAAAAAATATTTTGCTAAAAATCTATTTTGATACAAAAATAAATTTATTTAAATCCATATTTATTTCACTCGTAAAATTAAAATTTAAATAGTAAAAATCAGAGTTTAATTTCTTTTATTCAACTCTTGATATCTTCATTTACCCAAATATCACATTAATCTTCGAATTTGATTATGATTAACATCTTCTTATATTTTATAAATATGATTTAGATTTCAATAATAGACTTTAAATAGATGATTAGAATTTTATTATCTATTATTATTATTATTATGTTCTTAAAAGTACAATTAATTTTATTATCTATTAAATTTTTTTCTCTAAACAAATTGAAAATATAATTTTAACACTCAATTAATGCATTAATTAAGCATTAACTTTTTGGAGCACAGGACTTGTTGGGGTATGGCTTTCTTGTTGAAGATGAAGAGGGACGCTTTATTCGGGGTCAGTCAGGCTACTTGAAGGCCCAGCTAATGCTCACATTTCTGAGGCCCAGCTAATGCTGACATTTCTGAGGTTTCAGCAATACGTGAGTGCTTGAGATTCGCTTACTTGCAAGAGTATCTATTAACTATACTCGTCTTTGTTGCTGGGACTCTATTTCTAGTTGTACCGGAAATTTTTATTTTATTAATGAATAGATGTAGTATTTCCTTTAAAAAAAAAACATATTAGTCCTATCCGCATTAATTCTTTTTAAAATATTTATATATGAGAATGAGTATGTTTAGATAAATATAATTTAATAGTGACTAATAAGATTGTCTTTATATAAATTATTATCACAAATGCCTCATTTCTCAACATTGAAATATGCATGCTACTCAATAATCATTTCATTGGTTTTAATAAATTTAACGGTTTTTGATTTTATACAAAAATTAAAAAATTATTAAAAACCTTTTTGGTTTTACAAAAAATAATTATAATTAATTAAAATTATATTTAAATTAATACTTATATAATTAAGATAAAATTTAATAGAGATATCTTGAATATTATCTTAATTTTTTAAAAATATCATCTAAATATGAAAGAAAGTGAAAAAAATCTTCAAATTCAATGTGTGAAGTATTATTAAAGCCTCCTTCATCAACTAGATTGAGAAAGCTTTTTATAAAAAGTTAAAAACTATAATATTTAATTTTTAGCATTTAGCTTTTAATTAAAATTTTTTTGTCAATCATATGCGATTATTTTATTTCTCTAAATTCAGTGAATTAAACAACAGATATAATTTGTTGTCATTTTAAGTTAGACAATTAGCAAAATAACTATTTTTATCGAACACGCGTGATTTAAGCCGGCATATAAATAGTTACCGGCAAAAAGGTTGATAGTTACCGCTAATAAAACCATTAAGATTGCTCAATAGACCTTAAATATTTATTATTATCCTAAATAGAATATCTTCAGCAAAAGGAGTGGACTCCACAGTAAAACAATGGGCCCATGGGATGACGTGGAAGAAGAAATTAAGAGAGAAAAAGTATGAAACCAAACACACGTTCACTGCTTAGGCTAAAAGAGACAACCGGCAGAGCATCCAATGCCTAAAGCCTCTATATGCATACTTTACTTCCTTTCCTTCCATTAGATATCTCTTCTCTTTCTCCCACTCTATATTGTTTTCCTATATATAAACACATATATTTGGACTTGCCTTCAGCTAATAGTTGGTGGGTTGTTGTTCATCTTCAAAAACTCGAAGCAGAAGGAAAGAGAGAAAGTCATAACAAAAGCCATAAACGTAAGCCAATACTAATCTATTGTTTTTCTTCTATTTAGTATCTTTGCATATGGGTAGTGTTCATTTGGTCTTGTTTGTGTTTTAGTGGTGGAAATAATTTGGTTCTTTGGTTTTACCATGTCTGGGTTGGCTGCAGCTGGAGTGGAGGAAAGGGAAAGTGAGCCCAATAGTGAGTAGTATAAAGCAGAGGTTGAAGCTTAAACCGATGCCGTTTAATATAGTTCATGATGTTGATGGATTGCCCAGGATTATCTTGACTGACCCTACTGGTTCATCAGCTGAGGTGATTCTTCTAGCCCTTTCTTCTTCTTGTTCTCTCTCTCTCTCTCTCTCTCTCTCTGAGATATATATATATGTGTGTGTGTGTGTGTGTGTGTGTTCTCTCATCTGAGATATATATATATTTGTGTGTGGTTGTTCTCTCTCTCTCTCTCTCTCTCTCTCTGAGATATATATATATGTGTGTGTGTGTGTGTGTGTGTGTATAAAGAAAAAATAGAAAAGAATATTTCTTTCGGATTATTATTTGGGTATAACATAGAAATGAATTTTGATAGTCTAAATAATTACGGAGGAATTAAAACACGTACAATCTGATAATCAATAATCTTGACTGAGCCACAAAAAAAAGTTACCAGATTTTTATGGTCACATGAAGTGCCATTAGATATAACGGTGAATTATTGGTTTACAAGAGGGGAGCCAGAACATTTGAAGGAATTATCATCGTTAGGGTCTAATCAGGATATGGTTCAATACACTTATTGTAATTATTTTAATTTTTTTTTCATTGTTAGGAAACCTGGCTCTCTAATTAAAGTGCATGTTTATGAAAATTTTTTTGAATATATTTCTTTTGAGATAGCCAATGAGAATTTCTATCCCATCTTGGTTTGATCGCCAAGCATACTGTTATAGTTATTCTTGAAGAAACGCTTATAATTTGAAAGTATAAGGCATAGCTTCTTCCTGTGAAATTAGGCTACTGAAATGGTTTTATATTAATTTTTTTATTAAAAGAAAGAATGGCGATTGATCTAATGTTAAATAATGATACTTTAAAATTAAAAAGAAACTGAAAGAAGTACTTCAACTTTTGCAGCTGCTAACTATTTTCCCAAATGATTTCAGGTGCTACTGTATGGCGGGCAGGTTGTTTCTTGGAAGAATGAACGCAGAGAAGAATTACTCTTTATGAGCAGCAAGGTGAGCCATTCTTCTTATTGAAGGATTTCCTAGCTTATAATGGTGTTTTAGCTTCCTTTACCCCAAAGTTCCTTTTTGAATAACTGTCTGCAAGGGGTACTAGTTATTAGCTTGGTTGTTGACCTTCACTTTCAACTTCACATATCTGAATTAGTTCAGTCTTGAGAATTTTGGCAAGGGGAAACTCACATATGTTTTCGAACGACAGCTTCACATTCATCTACCAACTCTCTTAGCATGACAGTAAAAGACAAGTTAGCTGGCCTAACAAAATGTCTAAGCATCAGAAATAAAAAAATAATAGCACCTATCATTTCATTAGTTTTAACTGCTCCTTTTGTATATGCAATTCACAATTTTCCCATCAATCATAGTCATTGCAGCACTTGTGTTCTTTTCCAAAAGAGACAGGCTTAAATCCGCCTCAAACTTGGTTATTGTTGTGGGAGTGGTTATATGTTCTAAGATCAAAAGTTGCATCAAGAACTTCTTCTACGTCCTAATTTTGGCAGATTTCTTGTCTGTAGGCTGTTTGGAAGCCGCTTAAAGCTAACAGGGGAGGTATACCAGTCTGTTTTCCACAGGTTTGTGTGATAAGGATTCAAGAAAAATATATTTCTGTCTAAATATTATTGAGGTTTTGAGTTTTTATTCAATGCTGCTATTTCAGTTTGGAAATCTTGGTTCACTGGAAAAACATGGTTTTGCAAGGAACAGATTGTGGTCATTGGATAGTGATCCTTCACCTTTGCCTCCAGTAAATAGCCAGTCATCAGTTGATCTGATATTGAAGTCCACAGAAGACGATTTGAAGACCTGGCCACGTAGGTATGCTTCAAATAGTGCAAAACACGCAAGACTAAATAGAGGCTATGGTCATTTTATATTATATGTATTTCACCTCGTGGTTTTTTGCAGCTTTGAGTTGCGGCTTCGTATTTCTCTGGGTCCTGGCAAGCTCACTTTGATCCCTCGTGTGAGAAATACAGATAACAAGGCCTTCTCTTTTACATTTGCGCTGTGCAACTACTTATCTGTGTCAGATATCAGGTTTGTCTGATATATTCTCAGAACTTGCTTGCTTTGTAATGGCATAGACTGATGTTGTTGATTTAACTTAATGACTTTATAATGGCAAAGTCTTATTTTGTCTAAATGTTGCACTTTTTAACTTGCTTTATGAATGTTGTTTGCAATTTTCTCATTAGAATTAGGATCTGAGTTTGGTGTTTCATTCCTATCCTTAATGTTGTTTAATTTGCAGTGAAGTGCGGATTGAGGGCTTGGAGACTCTCGATTACTTTGATAATCTAATGCGCAAAGAAAGGTTTACTGAGCAGGCAGATGCAATCACATTTGATGCTGAGGTATTACATTTTATTCTTTTTATGGATTTACTTCGGATGTAAAACTCTTGGAGGAGAACTTCAACAGAACTTTCCTCTCATTGTTAATTGTTTATGATTTCATACAATTTATGACTGCATTTTTCCCCTTTCCTTATTGTTCATTTAAATTACCATTTCAGATTGATAGAGTATATCTGAGCACTCCTTCAAAGATTGCTATTATAGACCATGAGAAGAAGAGAACCTTTGTGCTGCGAAAGGAAGGCATGCCTGATGCAGGTTCTAAAATTTCACTTTGATGTTCTATCTGATTGTTTTTCCAATTATTTTGATTCTGATTATACAGATACCATGATTTCACATTGGATTTCATTGATTATGTAGTTGTGTGGAATCCTTGGGACAAAAAGGCCAGAGCTCTCCAAGACTTGGGAGATGAGGACTACAAAACCATGTTATGCGTGGATTCTGCTGGTATTGAAACCCCAATTATCTTGAAACCTTTTGAAGAGTGGAAGGGCTACCAAGAGCTCTGCACTGTGTCGTCAAGTTATTGCAGTGGGCAGTTGGATCCGAGGAAGGTTCTTTATGGCTATCAATGATCTCTCTCAAGTAATAAATGGAGGAAATCTTCTTGTAAGTTATAAAAACCATCTTATTTGATGTAATATATATATATAAATTATCTCTTTTTATTGTCTTTAGGATGCTATAAGGTGAGATTTAACTAGTTGCATGTGCTAGTTGACTATCACATTTGAGGTGATACTGTCACATTGTTAAGTTTATAAAAACCATCTTTATTTGATGTAATATTAATAATATAAATTATTCTCTTTTATTGTTCGCTTTAGGATGCCTATAAGGTGAAGAATTTAACTAGTTTGGCATGTGCTAAGTTTGACTATCACATTTGAGGTGATACTGTCACATGTTTTTAACAGATGGTTCTTTTCATGTTAAGACTTATAGTTAAATGAGTGGGTTTTGATGATACTAAGTTTGGTGTTATTACTTTAAAGATTTTGTTTGAAAGTAAAATAAGTTAAATTCATAAGTTAAGAAATACAACATAGAGGAATGGGGATTGAACAACACTAGAGATTCTGTCACAAAACAGCTTCAAATCTCTCTAATCAATCCTCCCTGTATGAGCAATGATTTGGTCAACTTACTCAACTAGGAAGTAGACATAGACATATTATTCTTTTACTGCCAGAAAAATAATTCCTGATATATGAACTTAAGAATAAAGAAGCAAGGACATCCCAAATTTTTTCTTTGGTCAATCGTTTTGTCAAATGGGTCATCTCCTAGATACATGTTTATGTTATTGTTAACAGATGGTTCTTTCATGTTAAGATTATAGTTAAATGAGTGGGTTTGATGATACTGTTGGTGTTATTACTTTAGATTTTGTTTGAAAGTAAAATAGTTAAATTCATGAAGTTAAGCAAATACAACATAGAGGAATGGGGATTGACAACACTGAGATTCTGTCACATAAACAGCTTCAATCTCTCTATCATCCTCCTTATTGAGCAATTGATTTGTCACTACTCACTAGGAAGTAGACCTAGACATATTATTCTTTTCTGCCAGAAAATAATTCTGATATATGACTAGAATAGAGAAAGCAAGGACATCCCAAATTTTTCTTTGGCATCCTTGTCAAATGGGTCATCTCCTAGATACATGTTTATGTATGCCCTGCAAAGAAGTTCACTTTCAACTCTGCTAACCACCTCATCCATCACTGCATACATCAAAAAATAAATCTTTCATTAGCTTTTCTGTGTCTGGCAAATGCATAACATGAGAACATACAGATTTTCAGAAACCTAACACTTAGTTTCAAGAACATATCCAGGAAGGCGAGAAATCTCGATTACTGAGCCGCTTGTTAGCTTAATCTCATCTGATGCTTGACCCATGACCCTATCATTTGAACACACAATGGGTGAGTTTTATAGTAGTAGTTAAGCATACAATTTCTGTTGTTGATGATAAGGAGTAGAGGATTTTTACTTGTTTGCAAGCTCTTCATTCTTTTTTCCACCAGTCAGTTTTTTGATTGATGCTCCTAGACCTTCATCAAAGTTTTTCTTAACCATATTCATGGTGAGGCCGGAAAACACAATCACCAACTTCACCATCGTAGCCAAATCACTGTCAATTACTAACTGATACATTTCCTTCGTTGGTTTTGCCGGCGCTTTTCCAATCTTTGACTTGAGCAGATCTTTCAGTTTCTCGTTGTCTGTGTACATGCCTGGAAATTGAAAGTTAAATAATACTGTAAGTGATACTATTAAGTAGAGAGGCAGTCCATATGAATTGCGGAAATTGAGATCCTGCTTAGTGATACCGGAGTCATCTCCAGGGCTGAGAGGCTGTTAGTTTGAACTCTTCCAACAGGTCCAAATTAACTCAAAACACAGAAAAAGAAAAGGAATGGGAGAAACTGATATTCCGATAGAATATTTACCAAAGCCATAAATCTTGATGCCCATGCCAAGCATGGACTTCTTCCTCAAACCAACACTCAGTAACTGCTTCCCATCATCCAACTTAACTGGAAAAGAAACCCCAGTTTTCGGTTCAACTTCAACTGCTACCTCTTCTTTCTTTACCTCTTCCTTTGGCGCCTCACATTCAGCTTCTTTTCTGGCTGCTTTCATCTCTTCTTGAACTTTGTCCAAAACTGGCTCTGCAGTAACCTTTACTCCATTCTCACAGTTCACCCCATTTGTAGCCTTCTGTTCTACACCATTCACCTTCTCCTCCACTGGCGTCTGATCCTCGGCAACAACAACGTTCTCAGCTAGGGTTGCCATTGTACAACTATGTATTGCTATGGAAATATAAGAGAATTGTTGTTTCTTGCTTGTGTTGGTTGGAAAATTTAAAGAGACCACAAGTGTTTATATAGGAAGAAGGTGAGGGGGGAAGATATAACTAGATAAAGAGGCATTTAATTGGCATTAGAGGCATTGGCCTACCTCGGTGTGAGCATTAGATAAGTGAAGCTAATGGAAAAAGAAATGAATTCTTGAGGCATAAAAAGTTTTGAGTCTGTTACTAATGGAGGTTACAAGTTGAGCTCCAATGGGATTGGATTTTTATGTAAAAAAAACATACAAGTTTAGCTGGTTGAATAAATTTTCTCACAAATTGAATTCACACATATCAAGATCCTACCCATATGAAATGCTGACTTGTCTAGTTGAGTTCACACATATCAACACATAGCTGATGTTCTAATTCATGGCCATTGCAATCTCTAAGATAAAGGCTTTGAAATGCTCAATGTTTAAGCTTGGAGAAATGTTCTTCTTGTGATTCTGTTGAAAAAGGAAATACTCCTCCGTTCGGATAAATTTAACACGACACTTTTTGGCTTTTTTTTTTTTTTCATTTAGATGACGCTTTTAGAAAATCATAGTGTTAATTATTTTCTTATATCTTATGGGATTATTCAGAACTCCCAGAATCATTGCATTCCTCTAAATAAACCTTGAAAATTACGGAATATGTCCTTAATTTAGAGGTTAAGATTGGGTCACTGAGCACTATCAGATTCATTTAGCAAAGGACAATTTTGAGAGTCATAGTTCCACATTTGGCATCAAGTCCCCAAATGGCTTAGCCTTAAATCTGATTTGAGGGAGCCAAAGAATCTATTAATCCTATAGATGAGTGGAGCAAAATTATTATTATTGAAAACAGTTTAATAAAGAATAAAAGAGAACTCTATTCCATTCAAATAAAAGTAAAGAAATATCTTTTATGAAAGTTTTTATTCCTTTGATGGGATTTATTTAGTTTCTTTTTCCTTCGTAGAAGTTTTTTTTCTTCTTTTTTATTTTCCGAGGCCTGACAGGTTAATATTCGAGCAATATTTAAAAATATAAAAATTAGTTTTCATTCAAAATAGCTATTAAATAAATTTGTCAATTAAGTGTGATTTAACGAGTGGCAGCGGTAGTGGAGTTGAGAAGTTTCGAATTTCATTAATTTGGTGAGTCAGTCAAAAGGAGAGTTTTCTTTTTCTAAGAATATAATTTATTATTAATAATATCAAAGTACTGATTACATTATAAATGGAATTTAATATCATTATTAATAAGGTTTGTTGATCTTTTAACAAATCAAAATTATTATATATATATATAGCCGTAATTAATATTTTAATTGATTTAGACCGTAAAATAATTTTTCTAAATTTTTTATATACTTGATTGCATACTGTCAGTACGTCTTGGTATTATTTCAACCTATTTAACCTTTCAATTAAAAAAAGGATAGGAAGAAATGTCAAATTCTAAATTTCTAATATTTTAACAATTGGATAATGTTAGAACAAGTTAAAGCTAATTTCTTTTTTTGTCTTTCTTTCTTTTATTTTTGTAAAGGCCAAATGAGCTAGAAAATATGGTGGTTGATGCATCCTCCAAGTATATGCTTGACCTGAACAGGCATTCCATTATCAAGTTGGAAGCAGAAGTCATTATTAGAGCATCACCATGCAATACAGTCAACACCACCACCAACTGAGCTGGAGCCAGGACTGTTTTCTTTTCTTTTTTCTTTTTTTTTTTTTTGTTTTTTGAAATTGATAAGAGCAAGTGTATAAAAATAAATAATTAATTAATTAAAAAATAATGGAACAAAATTGATTACCAAAAAATAAATCATATTTCTGTCTACCTACATTTTTTTTTTCTTCTTGGGTTGTGTATATTATAATATCATATATAATTACATATAGTTTTTATAATCTTACCCTTCAAAATTCAAATTTAAATCCATAGTGAAAATTTATACAAAATGAAAGCAATTTAAGATTAAATGTAATTTTATAATTAATAGACGGTTAAATCAGAGAAGGTGGATTGTATTTTCAAGCAAATTTTATATAATTTTCGATCCGAATATACTTAACTTTGTATTTTTCATTGATAAACTCATTGAACTTATGCTATATAAATATGGTTTAAATTAATATTGAATATATTATTAAATTTAAATTGAATAATTAATTAATTATTCTCTATAATTTCCAAGTTTCTTCAAGTTTTATTTTCTAAATAAAATATTAAATTATTTTTTTGAAAAATAATAGGTGGAGCTCATAAATTGGAGTAGTCGCAAGGTGTCCAGTGTTATTTATCTTAATAGGCCCAGTTAATATCCCAAACCTCAAAAGCTAAGATGGGCTTATTGTCTTCTTCTTTCTCTTATCGCATCACAAGCAGACCAAAACTGGAGCAGTCAGAATGGTGGCTTAATCTTGAAATAGGGTTTAAGGTTTTTGTCCAAATCGGAGAAGAAGAAAGAAAGCTATGAAGGAAGGAAGGAGCAGAAAACGCAAGAGAGCCAAGCATGGCAAACCACAAAATCAAAACAAACCTCTCTCAATTGAAGACGCTATACAAAGCCATAGAAAAGAACAAGAAGAAGAAGCTGAACCTAAAACCCCTGCCTCTTCTTCAAAGAGACTGAAGTCTTCTTCTTTCCTCGATAAGGTAATATGCTTTCTCTGTTACAATTATATATATTTTGAAAATAATGAAACTGATATTTTTTTATCGAATGAATATTACTTTACGTATTTGCAGATGCGAGCGAGATTATCTGGTGGGCATTTCCGGATGATTAATGAAAAGCTTTACACTTGCACGTAAGTTTCCTGTTTTTCTGATTGTAATTCGCATTTTTACTATTACTTTCGGGCATTTTTGTTTTTCAAGTATAGAATTTCATTGGGTTTCTGTGAATTGTTTTTTGTCCCCAAAATGGTTTAGTTTGATTCACGTTTTGTTTTGTGTTTTAATATTTTTTGTTAATTGCACTTAAAATGGGATCAATTTTATTTAGACTGATTAATATAGATTATTTTAGAATTCCAACGATGGCACTCGTTTTTCCTTGACATTAGTGAGGAAGTTATACTCTCTATTTGGAAGTAATTTGATCTTTTTTTTTCTTTTCCTTTTATCAGTGGAGAGGAAGCCCTTGACTATTTCAACGAAGACCCGTTCTTGTTTGATATGGTATGTTTTTAGTCAGATCATCAGCATCTACATTTTTCTTCTCCTTTTCACTCTTCATTAGAATATCTATAATTTCTCATTTTGTCCAATCATAATCAATTTAGTAATAAGCTTAAGCTGACTGCATAATGGCAGAGCATTCACATGAAGTTTCATCAATCGTTGAACATTGGATTGAAGTCTGCTAACTGATATTTTACAAAGATCTTTTCTTCTTTTATGGTTTTAGTGCTCTGGTGTTGCGTGTGTAATCTCTTGCTTGCGTTGATTGTACACATTGCATTCTAAAGATCGTGAGTTTCCAGATATCAGCAATGTGATTGTTATCATAGTATGGCAAAGCTTGCTAATCTCTATTTATATTCTCCAAATAATAGTAGTGTAAAAAATCGGAGAAATCTATGATGATTCTTTTTGTAGTTTATTTTCATGTAGCGTTGCTGTTACATGTAAAATATTGGTGTATAATGTTTAGAAGGTATAGACTCCAATGCTCATTAGTTTACTGAAAAGACTTGGAAGGCACAAATCCAGGGTTTAGCTGAAAATAATATCTGTTCACTGAATACGCAATGTGGTCTTTTTCCTTTTCAATGGAACCCCTTTAATCAATATTTATTAGAAGGCAGCATAGTCTTCCGTTTCTTTTACTCTTTTTCATATTCCATTTCCTTCTCTATGAAAATCTATAGGCCAAATTCAAGATTTACAGTAATGATCTTTACATATAGAAGTTACTATTCATGAAAACCAAGGGAAAAGTAAAGAAAAGAAACAACCCATAAAGATCACAGGAAAATACATAGGTCAAGCAACACAATATAAGGTGAAAATATTCACTTATTTGCTAAGCAAAAGGCCTTATTTTCTTGGAAAATGAAATCTGAAATTGTCAAATCATCTGTGAATCATATCAATCCCATGTGTTCAAAATTTTGATTGAGCATCAAACTATCACAATAGTCATTTTATATCTTTTCACTTAGTAGTTTGACCTATAATCGATTGCATTACAGAATAGTCATTGTATTTGATCCATTATCCACTGCCTGATATGCAGTTACATCCTGGCAAGTATCATGTTCCTACTAATTTGACTTGTCAAAGTGCCATACCCATTTTTCGATATCCTTACAAAAGACAGGTGTTTTAATGTAAACTTAGTGGTTGAAGTATTTGTTTAGGATCATGCATTCATACCTCAGCTTAAGGTATCTTTCCATGCACACTGCATACAGGTGTTTATCTATTCCATATTTTTTCTGAATAATTCTGTCTTTTCAATTCATTTCGAAATATTCCTCTTACATTTCCTTAAGATTCCGTTGCCTAGAATAGTAAACGTCACTTGCATTATTGCATGATTTTCTCTATTTGAGATATCTTGACTTCATTTTTACTTACATGGTCAGTATCATGCAGGATACCAAGAACAAATGTCACATTGGCCTGAGAAGCCAGTAAATATAATAATAAATTGGTTAAAAGGTCGTAGTTCTTCCCTGGTCGTGGCTGATTTTGGCTGTGGTGAGGTTTTGCTGAATTTTAATTTCTATTTCTTGTTCAGATAAATTACTGGATTAATATTTGTGTGCAGGTATGCTATTTACTAATCGGTTATGTGGTTGTTTTGTCAATGTCTTCTTGCTCCATTTATTGCAGGAGATGCACAGATAGCAAAAAACGTGAAAAATAAAGTTTTCTCTCTTGATCTTGTATCCAAGGATCCTTCCGTAATTGCCTGTGATATGTCTAATGTGCGTGCCTTATTTAAGTGCCTTTGGTGGTTTTACAATAGCATAGATTATCTGAATGCAAGTTAACTAAATTTCTAAATAGGATTCAAAAGGATGCTTTAAGATCAAAACCTTTTATTTAAGAATGTTTAAAAACCTATATGAAAGGTTTTTATTATTGGTTATATATTGATATTCTCTGGCAGACACCTCTTGATGCTTCATCTGTTGATGTTGCGGTCTTTTGCCTTTCATTGATGGGTACCAACTTTTCAAGTTACCTCCTGGAAGCACACAGAGTTCTTAAGCCAAGGTTTGCTTCAGGTGCTCGTTCTAAGATTTTGGTCACATTATGTCAGTAAGATTTTAGTTATTCAACATTCATTGCTTCTTTGCAGTGGTTGGCTACTGATAGCTGAGGTAAAGAGCAGATTCGATCCAAACACCGGAGGGGCAGACCCAAATATGTTTTCAAAAGCCATATCTGATCTTGGATTTGCCTCAATGTTCAAGGTCTATAACTAGTCGACTCGTGTGCATTAATAAACTGATTTTCTTGTCCTTGCTACTGATATAAATTATGTGCAGGATTTCTCAAATAAGATGTTTATTTTACTGTACTTCCAAAAGAAGGTGAGTTGCTTATTTGGATTAATTATCGCCTTAAATTTTATGTAGTGCATGATGTATCTGCTCAGAAAGTAATGTATGTGTTCCATCATAGTTTTGTACAATTTTTCATGCATATAAACAATCTTATACTCATCCTTCTTTTGTAGGAGAAGCAAAGTTCAAAGAGAAAAGAAATCAAATGGCCTGAGTTGAAACCTTGTTTGTATAAGCGTCGCTGAGATAAAAGATGGAAAAAAAGGGAAACAATCTTTGTTTTGATGTTATGAGAGACAAGTTGGAGATAATTGGCTCTGCATATTGTAATGTGTGAGATTGGAGTTAAGTTTATTTAAATTTGTTATTCTAGTTTTCACTTTGCAGTTGTTGATGCTTCTGAATTTGTTTTTGTACTCAACTGCATGATCTTTCTTTTGGTTTTCTGAAAGAAGGAAATGCACTATCCTTTGGTATCATGAATTATTGATGTAGCGTGGTTTTTTTTTTTTTTTTTTTGGCAGTTGTTGATGCTTCTGAATTTGTTTTTGTATTCTCAAACTGCAGATCTTCTTTTGGTTTTCTTGAAAAAGAAGGAATGCACTATCACTTTGGTAATCATGAATTATTGATGTAACGTGGTTTTTTTTTTTTTTTTTTTGGTTAAAAACTCCCACATGAGAAAGTTGGTGGAAGGAGCACCAAGGATAGAAGAATTAGATACTTTTTGAAATTAAAAAAAAGTCATTTTATGAATAGATAATATATATATTAATAGTATATTATATATATATTATTATATTAATATATATAGTATGGTATATATGGGTCATAGGTGTTGGTATAGGAAAGAGAATTATTGATTTGATTGTTTAAAATTATTATTATATTTAATTGTTAAATTGCTTAAACAGCTCTTATTTTAAAAATCTTTATATATAAAATATAGTTCACATAATTAGCTCCTTTAAATTGGTCACTGGTGATTGATACTATAAAGTGTTTGATAAACATAGCAGTCAAACTGTTTTCAGAGGTTAAGATTTAGATACTACTAAATCAGACATGTTAAAGGTTTTAGATGCAACTAGAATAGTTAACCGTTATTAAAATATATTTTAACTATTAAAATATAGTTAGAACAGTTAAAAATTATTAAATAGCTAATTTTACTGAACGTGTCTGTAATTAATTAAAAAAATTGGTTCATACTTAATATTTGGATCAAAATTTTGAATAATTCTTTTAAATTAAATTTTATTTGGTATCTCATATTTGATTACTTAAGATATCCTTTTTGGTGAGAATATTGATTTGTCCTTATGTTTTCTCTTACTTTCCATAAAAGAAGGCCATTACTTTCCATAAATCCTTTTGGTGAAGTACTAAACAGTAAAATTATAAATATAAAAAAATTAAATAATTTAATATTACGACCGAGAAAAATGGAATTTTAGTAATTTTTGCAACTTTTTTAATCAAAAGACCAAATAGCTCAATTCAATACTGATTTTTACCAAATTAAACAAAAATATAAATAGTCAAATGTTATAAGGTATAAGCGGCAAATATGTCGCTTTAAAATAGTTTAGTAGTTGAAATTTTTCTTTTAAAAGAAAAAAAATTTAAATTTATATCTATTATCAGTTGTATACACATTCAACTCCAACGTTAACTATATCATATCATGGCGGCTATATGTGGAAACTTTAAGAACAAATTATATATGATAGAACATCCTTTTTTATATATGAAAGTCGTATCAAATAAATGTTTATCCCATGCTACGCTAAGCTTTTGCACGTGCTTCCCATACCCTGAAGAAAAAGCAGACGTAACTTTATAATGTATTTCATTTTTCTAAGGGAAGGGTAATTTTTGTTTATCATTATAAATATATAATAAGAGTGTGTATAGATTTTAAATTTAATAATTAATTATATAATTAATAAGATTAAGTAAGAGTCATTTTATTACTAACAAAAATTTTCAATTTTCTATAATAAATATGTAGGTAATTGATGCCTAAAATACTATACTTTATTGATGATTAAAGATAGAAAAGAATTATATTTATATTGCATGTACAATTTGTTTGAATAGCCTAAATTACTTAATGGATGAAAATAATAAGACATTCAAGAAGCATTTATTTTATAAATAATTAATAAAAATAAAACATTTCTTATATTTCATATTAACTTTATTTTAAAACCACAATAACTAGTATAATCAAATAAATATATAAATTTTTTACATTATAATCATAATTTTATCTCTAATCACATGATGAAATTCTTAATTCACTTGACACTTACTCCTTATTTAGAATAAATGAATTCCATCAAATTTTATGGAATTCATTTGGAATTCCATATTTTTGTGTTTTGAATGAAGAGAAATATAGATTTCAATTCTAAAAATTTGATTCCATAGAATTGAATATAACTACATCAAATTCTATAAAATAGGTGAAATTTCTAAATGAATTCACAAAATTAAGTCATCTAACTTTTTTCGATAAAACTATCATTCTCCTTGTACGAAGTCAATTTTTCAATTTTTTTTACTTATTTAACTTATTTGTTTTATCAAACTTGGCCAAAACCATTTAAAATTTTATTATTTTAAAAAAATATTTTTTTTTATTTGTGTTTTTTATTTTAATATTTTTCATCTTTATTTTATTATTTTTTAACATTTTTTTACTATCGAGGAGAGAAATTCAAGTTAAATACATATTTATCACTTAATTAAATGTAACAACTTTATTAATATTATTTTTATTTTATATATTCTTAATTAAATGTACAACTTTAGTTAATTTATTTTATTTTATATATTTTATTTTAGATATATTTATTTTAATAAAAATATAAAAAATTTTATATATCATAACATAAATATAATCGGTTATTTCAAGGATAATTTAAAAAAAATGTAAATGAATTTTCAATTATAAATTTATTTCATACATGATTACGTGAAATTTAATTAAATAATATGTTATAAATTAATTATATCAATATATTTTAAATTCATTTATTAACAAAAGGGACCGTTAAATAATAACTTAAAGTTATAAGGAAATCTTGGTTTGATTGTGTGGGGAATTTCAACCAAGTCAAACGGAATTAAGTGATTTTTAAGTCAAAAAGTGGAAGGCTCTAAATTCACCAACTAATAGATATGTTGAAGATTTTAAAAATTGATAGGCTACTGCCAGTCAAAACTCCCTACCATACCATCCCATTTTCTAGCTCACCACCAACCTATATATACTATATATATATATATATATATATATAATTTTTTTTCTAAATATGTTTTGGAAGCTTAGTAATTTAAGTAATTAAAAATAACTACCCCTTTCCTTTTAAGTAATTTATAGATCTGAGTTATTATCACCCATTTATTGAGATTTACTGTTTCACATATATTGAGATTTTGTCTTTAGATTTAATTTTGAGTTATGTTATGTTATGTTATCACCATTATGATGATTTCGTCTAGCATCTTTTATTTTATATAGAAAAAGTGCATATCTCATTTCCAGTAAAAGGAAAAAAATTTAAAAGTAATCAGATCGGATTTATAGAAAGACCATGGAGTCGAACATTGGCCATAAATAGCCACTAAGAGGAGCAAGTGATCGTATATGGCACAAATATTATGCTATGTCAACTCGATCAGATATTTCAAATTAAGATTGTGTTTTTTATTTTTTGTATAAGTGGTCTATTATTAGACTTCTTATATAAAAATATAGAAACATATTAATTTGTATTTAATTTTTTCTCAAAAAAAAAATGTTTAACCACGCTAATTTTTTAATTAGTGTGTGTGCTTAGAAATATAGAACACTAAAAGCTTAAATCCAAAGATAATGTAAGTACGAGGGTAAAAAAAATTTCCACATCTTTAGATTACCCGATATAATAAAGGCTGAACCATCAAGAAAGCTTGAAAGCATTTAACCGATACTATTTTTTTTTAATTATTACCTCACACTTATTTTCCTTGTTATTACCGCCTCCAGGTAGAATTCGTTAATTTGTTACTTATTCGGCCATTAATTGGCTTCGCAATATGCCAACTTACATCAATGTGACCATTTTTAAGCCGATCATCCTTTTAAAATTTCTAAGTTGAAAGATGTGTTATTGACACAATTTCCTTCCCATCCCACTGCAAGCTTGAAAGAATTTAGTTTAGTTTTACAATTAGTAGACGATTGATGGATTCTCGGTGAGCAACTTGCACCGTCAGCAACTGTAAGATCCATCAAGTAGGTTTCTTCACTTCGGAACTACATCATTCGACCATATCCAATCAAACTTTTGATAAACGACAGAATTCATAATAAAAAATAAATACAATATATTGATTAAAAAATTAAAAGTATTTGCCAATTTTGAAAAAAAAAAAAAACTCAAAAGTTCAAACTTTCTTTTTTTTTTCTTTTTTTTTTTGCGATTAAACCTATAATTCATAACAAATATCTTCTTTTTCCAATAATAATTTCCTTTTTTATGTGTTAATGTTATGTTGAGTCTCTTTATGCATAAAATTTTTTCCAATTTAAAAGAGAATTATTTTCTATTTTATATTTCAAAATATTTTTTCAACCAATTAAATCTCTAGCATATATTAAACAAATTAAAGTATTAAAACATATGTTTTTAAAACCTAGTTCGGCTCGACTGATTCAATAAGTTTATTTAAATAAATTTTACTCATCTCAATCCAATTTAATTTGCATATATGAATTTTAAGCAAAACTTACTAATTTTAATTAATCATTTCATCTACTAACCAATAACATCTAATAAATCTATGGAGAAAATTTTGCTATATCCATAAAAGTGAGAAGTAAGTTGATCATTTGGAGAAAAGTTAATTAAACCAAACCTTCTTTTGACTTGGTCAAATATTTCTAATTTCCAATTTCCAATTTCTGATGGCAACTTATTTATTAATGTATGGTCTCATTTTCTTCTTACTGCCATCACAATCAAAGGCTTTTATTTATCAAGGCATATATCATCAAGGCTCTAAGAGCTTTAATTAATATTTTTATTTCATATAAAAACTATATTAATAATAAACATTCTGACTTCTGTTGTTGTTTGATGAATTATTTATTTTACAATTGGATTAATGGAAGTAAATTATATTTTCAAACGAATTTTATCTGGATTAAAATTTAGAGTTGCTACTTTTAAGAAGACTTTATCCTAATACTATTTTGTCGGAATGTAAAACATAATTGTACTGTTATTACATTTTTTTTATTAATCCATCTATTTACTTATAAGGTTGCCCACAGGAGTTTACAATCAAAGACTTTTTTTAGAGTCTCTGGGTTTGAGTAAATTCTTATCTGCCAACCATACATGGTTGAACCTAATTTTGGTCAAAATATTCTAATTTCAAGTTGTAATTTCTTTTTCAATTCACTGTTACAACCCATTGCTCTTAAGTATTAATGTTTCTCTAACCTACTCTT